ATCAAAATCCATTTGCTAGTTTTGCCCTCAGATCTTTCCTCAATATCTTTCCTGATGGAGCTTTAGGAATTGAACCAACGAAGAACACTTTGTTGATTCTCTTGTAAAACACAACCTGTGAAAAATTTCAGAGATAAAACAACGTTTGCATCATGCACAATAATCAAATCAAGGACTTGAATTTATAAATTTTTTTGCATTACTCCATTCTTTACCTGTTTCGACACGAATTGTTTCACTTCATCTTCTGATAACTCCGAATCCTTCGATTTCACAACAAACGCAACAGGAACTTCACCAGCAGCTTCATCTTTCATTCTATAAAAATAAAACAAAAGCAAAAGTGTAAGTAGATTGAACAGAGATACTAGAGAAATCGAGAAACCGCTATGTTCGTTTTCGATGTTATTGATATCAGTCATAGCAATTGGCAATAAGTTTTGTTGTTCGTTTTACAATCGCCAACAATGAGCTGATCAAACGTAATTGTTGGTTCAACGACAACATTTTCGTCATAATTTGTCGTTGGACCAACAAATACGAATATAACTTTTGGTTTATCTGTCACTAGCGACTGCAAAACGAACAAACTAATAAACATAAGGTCGAATTTGATTACTTACCCGACCACGGCTACATCGGTGATATCTTGATGACCAATGAGAAGAGCTTCTAGCTCAGCTGGAGCAACCTGAAAACCTTTATATTTGATAAGTTCTTTCAATCGATCAACGATGAAAAGCTCGTCATCGTCGTCGATCAATCCAATATCTCCGGTATGTAGCCAACCGTCTTTATCGATTGTTTCTGCGGTTGCTTCTGGATTGTTGAGGTAACCTTTCATGATTTGGTGACCACGGATACAAATCTCGCCTGGTTGATTCCTCGAAAGAGAATCACCGGTGTCTGGATCGAGTATTTTCATCTCGGCGTTTCTAACAACCGTACCACAAGCTCCTGATTTCACCGGAAATGGTTCTTTTGCGAATCCTAGTGACATTGCTAGTACTGGACCTGCTTCAGTCATTCCGTATCCCTGATCGTATAGACACATTTCCAAAAAAAACATAGAGAAATGATAAATTATTCACTTCTGATTGAAATTCTTGAAAAATTCTTGAAAAATTGAAGTTATAGTGACGAAATCTTGAATTTTTGA